TGGATGTCTGAATCTGTCCATGACTTGGTAACTGCCTGAAATTTTATCCAGATACTTAATAGTCTCAATAACAACTCTAGAAAGTGGGTTCTTGCATGTTTCTCCTCGAGGATCAACAAAAATTGATCCGTCTTCATAGAGTTTTTGTCAGTTTTGTACTCAAAAAATCGATGAGTTTTTGTTAAACCTGGAAAACCAAAAACAAGATAGAAGATATGAAGAAGAGTGATAATTCAACGACTTTCCTTCTAAAGCTGGAAATCAGAATTTTTAGGGAAATTCTTGACCTACCGTATTTAGTCCAGTTTTGTCCGATTTGTCCTCAAAGTATTTGGAAACTATCGAATCATAATGAACATAACCAAAAAAAACTTCCAGTAAATGTTCTTACTTGTAACCTGTTTCTTTTTCTCTTTTTCATATATCCTCGATCATTTTCTTGATCCGAAAAAGAAAGATTTTTTGACAAAAGATAAGCATATTAGCATTAAATTTTTAGTATCAGGCGTTTAGGCATATCAGCATTAAAATTCTAGTTTTCGAAGTTGTTTGTTCAACTAGTTAGAAGTATTTTTGTGGCTTTTTTTTAGGATTTTTAAATGTTCTTCAAATAACAATTTTTAGCCAAAACTTAAATGTAACTGTTGACGTATTCAAGTATAGTATTTTAAGCTGAGACTATTAAGTATCTGGATACAATTTCAGGCAGCTACCAAGTCATGGACAGATGCAGACATCCAAAAACTAAATTTTTCCTCGATGAGAAGATAAACAAAGCATCTAGGTAGAAATTTTTGATCTGTTCAACGCTGAGAAAAAACCGAATTGGAGTAATCGTAACTCCTCAATGAAACTTGATAATCGTTTATAGTAGAATTTGGTTTTTATGTTGCCAGCCTCAGAATGTTGAGGCGTACTACCTTTTTTCAAATGTATTGCAATGAAAAACAGTTCGAGAAGCTTGAGGTGAACATGAAATCTGCGTATCTAGCATTAGCTGAAAAGAATTTAGATGGTTGTTTGTTGCTTGAGAAAAAACTCAGTGGATAAAATTTGTCAAAATGACTGCAGAGTTGATTTTAGGTCCAGTCCAAAAAAAACTTCGTCCCGCGTACACGCCACTGTTTTTTAAAAGCTTGAAAAACGAGATTCCTGTCTTTTGAATCGGTATACTGCAAAGATGTGTCTCTGCCACAAAACGTATTGCTGTTACGACATCTTTGAATTCAGAAATGAGAGATTACTTCAAAGAACACTAAAAATTTCTCGTTTGTTTCATTCTCAATCGATATCAAATGCAGTCCACAAATCGATCAAAACATATGATCGAAAAGACTCTTACGCAAAGTAACTTTTAAGCAAAAATGGAGGTTCTACATGATAAAATTTATACTAAACTAGTAAACTTCTAGAATCAACATGTAAATTTTAGTTAAGTTCTATACAAATGAGCGATGATTTAAGTTTTTTCTTAATAAAAAAAATTCGAGAATCTTTTTTTTAAAAATTTTCAAATAGGTTTTAACATAATTTTAAAATGATCTAACAAAATTCAGCTAGTTAGAACACTTGTCAAAACATACCTTAAATAAATGAGAATAAATCCTAAGCCAGTGCTGTATTAACAAGTTACAGCGCCGGAAACTTAATGAAACTTGCCATCTGAAACATCATACCCTAATAAATATCGAAACGTACAATCTATCTTAATAGATGGATGGGGGAATACAATTACCTTTTTTAATACATAGCATGGAGACTGATAGTCTACTCCTTATCTTAATACATGAGGGCGTGCAACCCCGTCCCCCTGGTCAGAGCTCCAATATATACTTTGACGGAACTTTTAGATCATTCGAAAGGTATTGTTGTCCTGAGCTCAAACTTGAAAAGATATTTCACCTGTGATCATTTTTTGTAAAGTTATGGGGGTTTAAAGATTGCCGTTTTGGCCAATTTGGGACAATTAACGCGCGATATATTTCGCGCCATTAACGCGTAAGCGGAGAGTTAATCCGTCTTAGAAATTGTTCCAAATTGCTTAAAAGAAGCTTATTCGCCATAATTGGTTTGTTACAAGGAGCAAAATTTATCCTTTTGTACTTTGTATGGCGTGTGGGGGGATGATTTTCATAAAAAATTTCAAATTTTGGAAAGAAAATTTTTCATTTTATTTTTTCTTACATTTAATTTATTAATGTTATTACTGCTCCATAAACCATAAAAGGCAGTCGGAACATTCAAGGCTTCGCCCTGATACGAGCAGTCTTGTTGTGTTTGCGTTTGTTTATCTCTTGAGTAAAGTATAAAGTGACTGTCAGAATTTAATTTTTGTCAGAATTTTTACGGCAAATTGTTTTGAATTAGCACAAGCAGCTTTTTTAGTAATCATAAAGGTTTAGCGAAAAGTCTAATTGAAAATAAATTACAAACCTGTAGATAAGAGTCTTAAGTAAATTGGGAAGCCTCCTTTTAGCATGTATAACTAAGATAAACCAAGTTTTTCATTATGGTGCGTGTGTTAATTGCAGGATTAACTTTAGTGTGATAAGAGTTAAGATAAGGAATTCATAAAGCATTAATTTTAATAGTGAATGACTAGGTGATAAAATGTACTGTGATAAACTGGAAAATAGGAGTTATATTGTTGTCGATTTAAATTGTTTAGTAGTGAAATGACTAAGTTTTAAAATGTACGGTGTTAAATTGTATGTCATTAAATTGTATGACACCGTCAAAATATGCGGTTGTAGAAGGACGTTTAAATCGAAGCATCGATGCAACTGGATGGAAATCAGTTATATTTTAAACTGGTTGGACGTCGAAAAAAAAAGATATCTGCAAGACTTTAAATATTTAAAATTCAGTTAAGGTATATATTAATTATAGAACCCCATGTGACAATACAACTTTTAAATACGATTGAAAAACTTGAAAATATTGCTATTTGAGAACTTTTGATGAGCAAAGAAGTGCTTCAAGTCGTGGCAAATTCTTCAAAATTACTTTTCAGCTCGCTACATGAATTAAAGCTTCGATGAGTAAATGAGTAATCATTAAAAGTACTAAAAAGCAAATTTTTTGACGAATTTCCGCTAAAATTTGTACAGTTTTTGTTGACTGAGCTGACCACAAATTTGAAATATTCTTTCAAAATGAGTTAATGTATCGTCATCAGTATAATGAACTTTTTGATGCATTTTTTTCCACCGAATTTAAATAATTGCAATGATTACAGCGTTTAGGAACATCCTCAAACATTTGTATGGCAGCTCGCTTTGAGTCAATTGCCGTTGAAGTTGTTGTAGGCATTCTACAATCTTGTATCTAGTTTTGGAGCAAACTCAGATCTGGTTCTTCGTCCCCCCTCGGAGGTTCGAGCCTCTCATAGTCCCCATCCAATCTTCTAACTACCCATGAAGTCAGTTTTTGTTCGTACAACTTAAAAAATGTTTCTTGAACACCTTGAGCGCCAATCTTGAGTTCCAATACAGAAAACTAGTGGTTGACCATGAAAACACATCGATGGATCATAAATTTTTGGAAAGGGATCTAAAGCGGCCTCCGGGAAAGTTTTGCAAAATCCACTGCGGAGCAGAAATTTTTGCTAAATTTTTTTTGCCTGGAGTTTCTTGAAAATAAAGAGACAAAAAAGAGACAAAATAAACTCTAATCTCCCTAAAAATGATAGATTTGCCATTGTTCGCCAATTAAAAACATTAGCGCACCAGATACAAATCATTTGTTGTTTTCAGTGACTTTGACTTTGTTCTAAGTTCTTAAAAATTTATTTTAAGAAAATTAATCTTATTTCTGCTTGTTTGTTTTTTCATGTTTTGCTTGAAATTGGCCTGATTGTTCTGAGAAATAGCTTAAGAAGATATATTTGGAAGCGAAGTTTTTTTAAACATTCCATGCCAAACAATTGACACTAGTTTTTCTCGACACGGCGAGTTTTTCAAAAAAACTACTTGAGGTATTTCCTACTTAAGACTCAAGGTTTAAGTTACGACGTATCGTTCGACTGCCATAGATTTAAGACAGCTGATTTTGCATAAAATGTGCACAAGCCAAAGCTCCTTCACAACCCTGTAACAAAAAAAAATATTTTTTTTTTGTAATGAGTAAAAAGCGCTTTTCCGTAAAAAAAGCACTTTTTTGATAAGGGCAGATAGGAGACATATCAGTCAAACTATTATTTAAGCTCGAAATACCAAAAAATAACAAAAATAACAAAAAAATCGCATGTTTTTTTATTTAAGTACGCTAAAGTAATAAATTACATCAATTGAAGATCAAATTAATATCTAGAACTGATTTTTTTTAAATTAGCCTTCTTGGTGTAACTTTTTTAAAAATCCGTTGTTTTTCATTTAGCGTAAATAATCCTTTCATCAAGGATCCCTATTATTAATTTAACTAGAGAAAATAGACGCGAGACCTATTATTAAATTCAAGTGCAAAATTCGATTCTAGTTAAAAACTGAATAATTCAAAAAAATACCCCAAAAGTGACACTGCAGTCAAAGCAATGCTTCTCAAAACTTGGCGCAAGGCATAAAAGTTTCAAAGTTCAATCTGAAACTTATCTTCATAATTGAAACTCCGAATTTTTTTCTAATCTAATAGACCAAAATATGCTTGTCTTCTTAAGTAATTTGGTTTTGGATTACTTTCAGATTGGTCTGCTGAACTATGAAATTATTCCACTGGCTCCTTTCACCTGCGCATCAGCTGCGTCGTTTTAGAATTTTTATGTACGCTCTATGTTTTTGAAGTTTCTTCTTTTGAAGTCTCTTGAAAAATGCATTACGATCTCTGTTTCATTTCGGTTTCAGCCATATCCGATTCTTTTTTGTTTGAGTGGAAAATACCAGAAAATGGGATTAGAGATTAATGTCGTGATGAAATCAAAAAGCAAAAGCGTCCTGAGCTAGCTTTGTTTCTATAACACGCCTTGCTTTGGCCGATAGCTTTGATTCTATTGGTTTATGTTTAAGTAAAATTATACCATTTTTTTTACGACTGCTGTATTGGCCGCAATTTGATTTATATTATTTTTTGTTCTCAATATTTCCAACAAATAAATCTGGTAGTTGCGCTTTCAGTTACCCCAAACTAAGGATGATTCCTGTCCTTCGAAAAGTAGCTCCAGTTTACAGTTTCTGAGGCTTCATTTCTTAAAGCAATGTTTTATAGTCTTTTTGTATGTGTTTTGTTGATCTCAGTTGAAGTCAAAACATCCGCAAATGAAACTTCGTTTACTAATGGAGTGGATGTCGGAAATCGCCTCTTGGAGAAACTTGAAAGTGTATTGCCAAAAAACATTCCACCTTCAGATATGAGGTCAAATACCGTTTATATTTCTGTTGCGCCGAAACAAATATCACACGTTAACGAAAAAGAGGGTTTCTTGACATTACAGCTGCAAATGTCGTGCTACTATTGGTCTCAGTCAGCAAGTTGGGATCCCGCGGATTTCCACAATAATTCAATGATTATAGTACCACCGCATACATTTTGGAGCGCAGACATAGGTAAAAAAAAACAGACTTTTAACAGAAAATTTTTTATTTAACTACCCTCGCTTGTGTCTTTAGGCAACGCTTCCTTGCTTTTTTTCCAAAAACAGATGATTGTGGAAAAAAATTCTGAAAACACTTCTCCAGCCTAGATTTTAGAAAACAGATAATTAAATGTTTTAATTCACTAAAAACTCGAGTTTTTGGAAACGATAGTGTGCAAACATATTCCGAAAAATTTTTTTGAGAGCAGATCAATCGCTTTTTTAATAGAGGGTGATTCAAAACATTTGACACCTTTCAGAAGGCATTGACATATGAATCTGATTTTTCACAGGATGACAGCTGAGATTACATTTTTTGATATTTCAAAAACAAATAGCTTTTAAAGAAACATAAAAAAAGTTTTGCGCCGTTTTCTTGAAATTTTCGAGCTAATTGTGAATAAATGTGAATTTCGAGCTAATTTTTTCAATCTCGCGTCAATTTTTGCAGAAATGTGCTTCACAGAAGAACAGTGCAAATTCATTAAACGTCAGCCTGCTAAAGGATTGACTGCAATTGCAGTCAAGATAACGTTTCCATAAAATTACGCCATACTGGGGAGGAAAGAAAGTTAAAGTTAGTTCACTCTAATAAAATTACGACGCGAGAACGGAAGACCAATGGCGGTCAACCAAATCGTTTATCTTACCGTGGTCAGGGGCAAAGTATGCCCCCTTGTGGAACAACGACCAGTTATCAGGAGACTTTGGTTGCAACAAGACGTCTCAACAAATCATACTTCAGTTTGACACAAATCACCCCAGCAGTTTTGCAGTATCTGCAGTCAATTTTTTTGTGACAACATTATCACTCCTCAATCTTAAAACGTGGCCCGCTTAAAATCCTGACCTGAATCCCCTGAACTACCGGTTCAATGTTTCTGGTTGTTTTCGCCGCGAACCACAACCGAACCAATCATACGAGTCGAAAATTTCTGTCGTATGATTACACGAGATCAAACTTTGCCAGCTACAGCTTCATTCCCTGAACGCATGATAAGATGTTAAGAAAATGGCAGGAAATTGATAACTTTTTGAATAATTTATCAAATTTTCACATCTCTTCTATAACATTTTCATGGGTCTACGTCAGTTAAGGTAGAAATTTTAAGCCTTTTCAAAACTGTCACAGGTTTTGGGTCAACCTGTGTTCTTTCCATCAGCAGAATTGTTGTAGAAAAGTCAAGTTCGTAACTTCGAGAACTGTTCTTACAATCTTCCGTTAAATAAAGTAAAAAGATTTATTTAGGTTCTTGCAATTTTTGTCGAATCACACAAAACTTTGGCTGTTACTAAAACTGGTTCATATAACGACTGATTAAAAAAGATTAAGTCATTTTGATAAGAATAATTTTGCAAATTAATGACGACGAGTTTTTCAGTTGAATCAAGGAAAAATGCATCCCTTTCCTTTTCATTTTCAAGTGTCTCAGTTGATAAGAGGTACTTAAGAGTTGATACCTCATGTAGTTGACTTGTCACTTTCGGTCAAAACATGGCTCCAAGAGTCAACTTTCTTAGTTCTGGTTTGTTTCAAGAGTGTTTATATCACAGAGATTACAAATGTTTGATCACAGTGACTTTTGATTTATAAAGATTGGAAAATGTAGTTGCTTCGGCAACATACTCCCGGGGCCCCGAATTGTCTGGAACGGCGCAAAAGGCGTTGCAAAAAAAATCAAAAAACCTTAACAAGAGCGGTAGCGGGGCGGTTGAGAGTGCCGTAAGCCGTTCTCACGGTCACCACTCGTGTTGTGCCATCTCTTCCTGGATGTTCCTCCACCACACGTCCAATCGGCCAAATACCTCGCGGCGTGAGGTCTTTTAGTACCCACACTATGTCTCCAACCTTCAATGGTGGTTGCGTTTCGTTCCACTTGGGGCGTTTCATTAGTGAAGGTAGGTACTCCTTCTTCAACCGCTTCCACAGGTGGTTCATCATCTGTTGAACGTGGGTCCATTTAGTGTAGGTTAAGGGCATGCCGTCGTCAAATACTCCTGGTGGAAGGCTGCTGAAAGGTCGTTGAATGAGAAAGTGATTTGGTGTCAGTGGCTCGTCATTTTCTGGGTAATCAGTTACAATTGTCAAGGGTCTAGAATTCAGTATAATTTCGGTTTCGGCTAAAATTGTCTGAAAAACATCAAGTGTGAGTTTTCGCGATCCAAGAATGATGAGGATTGTTCTCTTGGCAATCTGAATCAAGCGCTCCCAAGCGCCACCGAAATGAGGGCCATATGGCGGGTTGAAGAACCACTGGATGTTTTGCCGTTGTAGCTTGAAAGAACAGGCTCTATTGTCAACCATTTTTATGGCGTCTTTTAGTTCTTTAGAGGCTCCAACAAACGTTTTTCCGTTATCACTGGTGAGCGTTTTTGGAGTTCCCCGCCTAGCTGTAAACCGACCTATTGCATTCATAAGTGAATCAGTGTTCAGATTTGGACAGTTTTCGAAATGAACAGCTCTAGTTGCAAAACAAGTAAAAATTTTGTCTCAATCTCTGTTTTGTTTTCAATATAGAAGGGGCCAAAAAAGTCTACTCCAGCATTAGTGAACGGGAAAAGATGATTTTCGTCGGGATATCGCTTCAGTGGTAATGGTGCCATGATTGGCTGAAGGTTTTCTGCTTTGTATCGTCGACACAAGAAACAATGATGAGCGATTGAACGAAGAGCTTGTCGTATCCCAATGATGTGGTAGCGCTGTTGCACGAAAGATTTGACGAACTCTTGTCCTTGATGCATGCAAACTTGGTGTGCATGCTGTAGATAGAGTTTAACTGTTGGATGAGTTGCTAATAGAATCAGCGGGTGACGTGATTCAAGCTCCATTGTTGGGGCAAATTCGAGCCTGCTGCGCGAACGAAGCATATGCTTTTGGTCAAGGTATGGATTGAATTTAATCAGTTTGTTCTTCGCTTCCAGGCACCGTTTCTGTTGTAGATGTTCGATCGTTTCACTGAAAGATTCTCGCTGTGCTGATATGATGATATAATTTCTCGCACGTTCCATATCGTTACTAGTTGATTGCTGTCGTTCTTTTCGATATTTTCCGTTAAAGTCTTGGTCTTTTGCAGATGATGAGCTCAGTTTTGTGAAAAAACTGAAAACTGAGGCGATGGTCAACAAAAGTTTATTCCACGAGGAAAAACGACTGATGTCAAAGACTGGAGGACCTGAAAACGGTTTTTGTGATGCACACACTGAGGCGAATATTGAGACGCTATCAGTTTCTATTACGGAAGATTTCTGTGGCCATTCAGATGATTGTGACATCAGAAAGGATGGGGCTGATAACCATTTTGATTCGATATCTATAGGTTTTAATCCTCTAGTGCCGTGATCAGCACTTCGTGGTGAGGCAGATACCACAACCTAGAAGTACTTCTTTGGTAAAAACTGCTGGCTGCGCGTAAGACTTTTCCAGGTCCGTAACCAGCGTCTTTTCATATAAATTTTGTAGATCGGTGTTTTTTTCGAGTCTTTTCTTCAATGATTGCAATTGTTTCAGAGCTACACAGTAGTTGTTGCTGAGAGTTGAGTTGGGTTTCCAGGGAAGACCTATTTCATATCGTCCATTTACAAGTCTTGTCGTGTTATCCAAGATTTGGAGAGCAAGCTTGTCGTCGCTGCTGTAGTTTTTGTTGAGTGTAGTGATTCCGCTTTCCTCGATTTTCCAAAATTGCTGTAGAAGATAGTCCAGAGGTTGCTCTGTTGTTTTGTTGCGAGAAACGTGGAAGACAAAGGGCCGATGTTTTGTTTTGGATGAGTGTCGCTGTTGTCTATTTTTGTTCAGTTGGTATTCGCCGGCTAATGTCCATCCAAGTTTTGTCTGCACAGCTGAAGGTATAAAGTTGTTCCCTTCAATAACGTGTAGAGGATATGTAAACAAGAATGAGTTTACACCAAGCAAAGCTCCAATCTTCCCATGATCGAGGTGTGGAAAACGAATATGGCGAAGTGTGTCGGTAGAGCTGCAAATCTCGTTCAAATTAAACACATCTGCCGCCGGTATGTTTAAGCAAGGAGTTTTGCACAAATTATTCATTGAAAACTTAACATCCGGTTTGTCATGCGGTGAGATGTGAACAGCATTATCAACCTTTGCAACTGGCATTTCATGATCAATATCGATATAACGAAGAGACATTTATGTGTGTTCCATAGATGGAATTTGTAGTTTATCTGCTATTTCATCAACGATGAAGCTAAATTGGCTCCCGTGGTGCCTAAGTAGTTGTGCTGGTTTCACCATGGCAGAATGAAACCGGCATTACTTGTAGTTGTTCAAACCATTGAGGTTGTTCTGAACAAAAACTCGAAAACTCACAGGCAGTGAATCCTTCCTGATTTTCTGCGCATGCTGCGTCTTTGCTTTGTTGCGATGACATCTCTGTTTTTGATCGCTGATGTTCTAATTTGTTAGAGTGCTGGGCACCATATCGGCTTAGGTCTGGTTGGTTTGGAAACCTTCTACTTTTAGGTTTGTACTCTTTGCTTTTTTGGTTAAAATCTGCAGACTGCTGATTAAAGTTTCGGGTTTCCTGGGGTGCGGGTTTACAAAAACTGTCGGAACCCCAAACTGGTTCACGTAAGTTTGGGTGCATAGTATTGTGAAACAAGTCATGATGGGCGTTGACAACGAAAGTTGATTTTTTAAAGTTGTTTGGGTCGTGAAGGCTTGTGTGATGAAATCCGTTGCACTCTTGACAACGGTTGTTTGAGACACAAGTAGTTCGGAGGTGATGAGGGCTTAAGCAGTTGACACAGAGTTCGAGTTGTTTTACGATGTTGTAGCGTTGTGGTGGCGTAGAAGAACTGTACTGTGGGCATTGCATGATATTATGTTCGTTCTTACAAGAAGGGCCTTGCTTGCGCTTTGTTCTGTATTGGTTGAAATTCTCAGAACCAATTGTTTTGGAAGCCTGTGGATTGCTTGATATAACGTTTGAGGAACAGGGCGCTAGGGCATTG